GGGCACGGCACGCCCGAGTTACCATCTCAGCCCCTCTCGAGATGGCACCCAACATAAATTCTCCTCTGTGTGGGCGACTCCAGCAAAGACACACTGTATTTTAATAAAAGTGTTCACACAACATTGTAGCACTATGTTGTTACATCAACAAAAAACGCAACATCAGCAATAGACAGGATGTTGATGCTGCGACACATATATAGAAATGGGACACCACCAGCTTGTAGAGATTAAGAAATATACATACTTCTCTTAATAAAGAATTCAGTTAAGTTCGAACTTCCACACAAAGCAGTTGCAGTCTTTATTTGTCTCATTAAATTAATACTAATATTGAACTAGAGGAACCTTTAACACTGGACTTGCTGCCTTTATTCGTCTTATTAAATCAATATTTATATTAAGCTGGAGGAACCTTTAACTCTTGGCAAGGCTCACCTTCGGTAACTGGCGCAGTCGGATCACGGATCATGAAGCTCCTTTGTATCATTATCTTGTAAGTTAAAACAAATGTGTAAAAAAAAAGAAAAAAAATAATAATAATAAGGTGCTATGGTGAAACGAAGGTGGTTAAAAAATACAAATTTTTCCAAAATAAAAACAAAAAGAAATTAAAATCGCAGCAATATTAAACAACAACTTATATAGATAAATGAAGTGAATTGCACTGAAACTGTTGCAGTGAGCTCGTACTTCAGGGCGACTTACGAACTTCAACGCAACAATATGTTTCATAATATATTTAAAACCTCCCTCGTAAAATTAGCGCAAAGATTAACAGCTGCAAATAAATAACAAAGTGAAATATACAACGTGGTACGAATAGTGAAGTCGAAACTGTTGCAGTTGAACTTGTATTTCAGGGCGACTTACAATGTTCAGAGCAAGGATATGTTTCAAAACAAACAAAACTTCCCTCGTACAAATGGTTCAACAACAGCTGCAATTGGATATGTTCAGTGCGACTTAAATATCCAAAGGCGGCAAATCTAACCGAACCCTCAAGCAAGTCGACACAACAAGTTTGAAGAAGTTGCAGCCGTGGCCATATTTCAGGGCGACTTATAGACCAAAGGCAGCAACATAATATGAAACCCATCGAACATGTCGCTGATAAGACACAACAAGTTCGAATAAACGGCAAGTGGTGCTATATTTCAAGGCGATTTGTACACCAAACCACCCCCCGTAAGCGACAACGAGTTGCGACTTCTATGTTCGAATCGGTATTTCAGTGCGACTTACCGACGAGAATAACATCATCGTTCGAACATCACTTATGATTATAAAATTTTACAAAAACACAAATTATGCAACTATTTGTTTTACCATGGCACAATACACATTTATAAAATAAAATAAAATAAATTACGAATACATTACTAACCAAATCCAATCTACAGATAAAACACACGTTCCACCACGAAGACCTTCACCTTTCGCAAGCTTTTATATATATATATTACACAATCTATTGGAAAACTAAGTAACTTTATCAAAAAAAAAGAAAACACACACACACATTGTACACCCTAGATACATAAGTCTTAAACACAAGCACTTGAAATTAGATTAAATATTATCAAATTAAGTCAGAATTTGAAAAGGTAACAAAAAATAACAATTAACCAAAGTTCAGACAGAAGCTACTAAATGTCGAATATCGGGAGAATGAAAAGACTCATCCCAAATACCAGAAATAAGCAAAATATCAGTTCTAGCCTTTCGGACGTTAGACTTGTTAGAGCGGACGATAACACTCCCATGACGTCAATATCAAGTTCGCCTCCTCCTAATCAAGGAGAGGCATTAAGAAACCAAATGGACGTGATTACAGCTTTAAAGATACCAGACTCAATCCGATTTCTACCACCGTACGACGGTAACCCTAAAACACTAAGCGAGTTCCTTAATAATGTGGAAGAAATTCTTCTACTTATTAGAGGAACTGATCAGACCCCTTATGGGCTGATACTCTTAAGAGCAATTAGGAACAAGATTGAGGGCAAAGCCAAAGAGGCTATCATAGAAGCCGGAGCTAGCCTCAATTGGGATGAGATTAAAGATGCACTTTTAACATAATTTAGTTCAAGGGGGATCGTCCCCACGCGTTTTATATGATAAAGTTAATGAAATCAAACTTGCCATGCTCAGATTAACCAAAACAAAGAATCTGAACCCTTATAGATCAAAACCAATATAAACATTATTTGCACACATATGTCTGAATTCGTTCCTATCAGAAATTAGAGGCCAATTAGGAGCCACAGTCCATGAGGCCGACCAACCTTCGGGAGGCCCTAGAATGGGCGCTAAAAGAAAGAGAAATATATTTCACCCAGGAAAATAGGAAAAAACAAGACCAAAATCGAGAATATAGACCACGGGACAACAGGTCCGAGCGAATCGACAGTAAAAACAGAACCCAGAATAATAACGAAAGACGCTATGACAAACGCAGTCATAACGGAAATTATGATAGAGACAATTCTAATCAAAGAAGACATAAAGCACTCCGGCGATCATGCCTAAAGAAAACAGTTCCGATCAACAATGTAAGCAATCGAACAGATACCTAGGAAATTCACAGTCTAAAGGCTCTATGCATAATGTCGAGCAAGAACATGCTCAACTACACAATTATAACGAGGACGCGAATTTTCAACAAAGAACCTCGACGAGCAAACAGGTTACTTAATCAAAAAAAAAAATGCAGGGTCACCATTACCATACATCCTATTGCACCTAGATTCTGGTAGCCGTTTTTAATTGACATTGGTGCAACCTTTTCGTTCATTAGTCCTAAACTCGTAACACAAGCAAATCAAACAAAACTTTAATCGCCAATATCGATTGAAACCGCACTAAAAGTACACCAACTATACAACAAAACGATCCTCCCACTTTTCAAAGAATTTGCTAATGACACCCCTTATTTATTAAAAACCTTCAACATCGAGATCAAACTCGAAGATAAAATAGTGTCAAGCTTACATACTATAGAAGAAGAATCAAAGAAAGTAATACAACTACCCGTTAATAATATTATTTTCAAAACGGCACCTTCTGGTGCGAACCAACTACCAACTACCATTAAACAACAATAACTTGAGTTACATGGAAGTTAATAACCTTTCGAACGAGACTCAGAACTTTTGTCTATAGGAAACAAGACTATTTGGAAGTTAATCTCATATTAATACCCAATAATGATTTCAATTCTAGTATACGTACTGACCACTTAAACAGCGAATAGAAAAGAGAACTTAAAAATCTCCAAACCAAGAAGGAGACCCCTTACCTTCACTAACCTAGTGAAACATAGAGTCAATACAACGGACGAAATACCAAGCTATACCAAACCATTTCGGTATAGTGTAAAAGAACGACAGCAAATTCAAGAACAAATATGAAACTCATTAGACACAGCTATTCTCCATGGAGCGCTAAAACCTTTTTGGTATCAAAAAAGATCGATGCTTCTAATGAAAAGAAATAGAGACTAGTAATAGACTACCGGAAATTAAACGAAAAAACAGTTAAGGACAAATACCCGATGCCGAATATAAACGAAATCCTAGACAAAATAGGCAGGGCAAAGTATTTCACTGCCCTAGACTTAGCTAGCGGATACCATCAAATTGAGATGCATCCAAAAGATATTGATAAAACATCCTTTTCTGCGGAAGGCGGTCACTTTGAATTTGTTCGAATGCCATTCGGGGTTACTAACGCCCCAGCCACATTTCAAAGAGTAATGGACAACGTATTAGCCGATTTGAATGGAAAATGTTGTTTAATATATTTGGACGACATAATCATATTTTCGGCATCCCTACAAGAACAGATTAGAGACTTAAAAGCAGTATTTGACAAACTCAACTAGGATTATTGGGGTACTACCGAAAATTCATTAGGGACTTCGCAAAAATTACAAAACCACTGACACAACAGTTGAAAGGGGAAAAACGGTAATTATTAGCGAAGAATTCGTATCTGCATTTGAAACTTGTAAAAACCTTCTTTGCAACGATCCACTCTTAGAATATCCGGACTCTACTAAAACATTCACTCTTACTACTGACGCTAGTAATGTCGCTATAGGGGCAGTACTTTCCCAAGGGACGCCTAACAATGAAAATCCGATATCTTTCGCTAGCCGAACATTAACAGATACCGAATTAAATTATTCAACAGCAGAAAAGGAAATGCTTGCAAAAATTTGGGCAACCAAATATTTTCGTCCCTATTTGTTTGGACTACGATTCTAATTTGTCACAGATCATAGACCACTCACGTGGCTTATGAATTTCAAAGAACCAAATTCAAAATTGGTTCGTTAGAAGTTACAACTACTCGAATATGATTATGAGTTTTCTTATAAAAAAGGTTCCCAAAATGTCGTAGCAGACGCAGTTAGCCGCGTCACAGTAGACGTAAACGGTAACAATCAAGCAAACGAAGCAACGAATATAACTTTCAACTAGTATTCCTAGTAAACGACACCTCCCAAACAATCCCATTTAAAAACAAAATTATAAGAACAATCTTAAAGACCCATTTCGATATAGAAGAAACTCCCAAAGGAATCTTATTACCCACAAACTTATACAAAATTATCAGATGTACAATAATGTTAGAAGACATGACAGACTCAAGTAAATTAGAACAAGAAGTCCAGAAATACCACAGGGATAGCAGCCACAAGGGTATAGCTGAAACAGTAGCCCAGCTAAAGAGAAAATTTTACTCACCCCTATTAAAAAGTAAAGTGTGTTGCATTTGCCGTTATCGGCAGCATCGAGGGTTTGCTTATTTGGTTGCGTGCGATATTATCGGTCACTCCGATATCGTTTTGTGGTCAGAGTATCGGGGGTGAAATTTATTGAAGGGTGGCAACGCCAGGCCTTCGATCCACGGTGCCAAAAGGGGCGATTGCTATTAGCCGCCCGATTCGCTCTTAAAGAGATTACAAGGAGAGTGGATCGCATGCCCTTGGATATACCCTTGGCCTTCATTTGGGCCGTTGACCCAAAAAAAATGCAGCTGTTCAGATGGACAGTAACGGTGCCGAAATTCGGCACCGATGTTGCTGCCCAAATGTACAGCCGGGAGTTCGAATTGATCAGCGGTCAACGGCGGCCGTGCCAGCTCGAAGCGAGCGTAAAGTTCCAGTTTTGCATGTCGGCTCTGAATATTCGAGTTTTTCCATCCGGCAAGTTCAGCCGGCGCGTACAAACAAAAAAATTTAACAAACAAGTAAAATCTTTGTTTTGTGTTTTCAATTTAATAAATAAACGTAGATTCAACCATTTGGGTCACCATACACACAAAAAAATTAGAAAGACTTACAACTTAAGTGCGACACGTGATGAACTCGTAAAAACCCTGAGACACTTAATAAATAAAAACGACTCCCAGTTCCGACGACGAAGGGACCAGTTCTCGGACCAGAGTGATCAGCAGGTCACCCCAAAAGGCCAGGATTTGGCTCAGCGGCGCACGTCAGCCATATCCGCGGTGCATGTCAGAATTATCCGCGTCATACGTACCTCGGCGCAACCCTAAGACGGCGAGACGAGCCACCAACGACCGGGCTCCCACAGCGAAGTGTCGGCCACACATCCTACGAGTGACTCTGTTCCATTTCGCCCCTCTTCGTTCGAGTCATTGGCAGAGTCAGACATAGACTCCAGATTGTGCTCCCTGAAAGAGAGCAGATTTTTTTGTCGTTGTTAAATTTAGTTTTTTTTTTGTTTGTAAATTATATATATATATACATCGGCACTTACGCCAAGCTTCACTTTAGAGTGCGAACAGTGAGGGGAAACTCCAAAGGTTATGCGTATGCGCCTATAAAATATAAAAGTTTAAAATTTAGGACTTGCGCGAACAACACCCACACACATACCTAATTTGAATTACCCCTTTCTATCGCCCCTTACCACCCCCCAAAGAGCTCTTTAGGTAGGGTAAGGTAGAATTAAGCGATTTAATACATATATATATCACCTACCTGTTGCACGACTGATTATCGTGACATACGTGCCACGATTGCCTCATGATTGCCCTCTTGTTTTCTTTTTTTGCGGCGACGGGAAATAACTTTGCAGTTTTCGTCGCCTGTTCCATTTAATGTTTTTAAAGTAAAGTTTTTAAAGTCTGTAAGATAAATGAAATTTTAGAAATTAATACATAATTGTGATAATTATAAGGCAAAGAAAAACAATAATACGCACCGGTTGACGAACCGAAGACAATGTCAGCTTTCGTAGAATAAATAACCAAATGGAGATACCTTGATAAATAGATAGAAATAAGAAACATTAATTGTTAACGACACGGGCTGATATAGGCCGACAAGTGGCCAAAACGAGGGAGACGAGTGAAGGTAATTGTAGGGGTGTTACAGCTTGTTGTTACAGCTGTTAGTGTTGTTCATTTGTTAGAAGTTCCGATTGTTTGTTCTTATCGATTATGTGGTTCATTTAGTGTTGTATAGGTATGTTTCGCTACAGACGTTGTAGTTTTGTTGATATCGATTGTGCGTACTGCGGGCCAGGGATGGGACTACACCCAGAGAAACCGATGAGCCAGCCGGCGCGGCCCACTGAGAAACAAGCAGTTCCGCAACAAGTGGCCGCCATTATCAATGATTGCGATATATGTCAAACACTAAAATATAATAGACAGCCGCAAAAGCTAATTTACCAAGAAACCGAAACCCCAGCAAGACCAATGCAAATCATACACATAGATTTATATACTACTAGCGGTTATAACCCGGCCTCGCCCGCGGCAAGTATGTTATAAAATCAATGTATCAAAAAGCTTTGAAACTGATTAAAATGCATTTTCCACCGAAGGAGTTTAGAGTGCGAAAAATGTGAAACACGTCTCAAATGATTTTTCTTATAGATCTTTGGAAATAAATTTGAACACAAAACGTTATCCACCAAATCTTCGACCCCCATTTCCACCAAGGAGGAATGGACTTTTCAAAAAGTGTGAAACACCCCTCAAATGAATTTGAACATAGATCTTTGAAAATAAGCTTGGGGCCGATCGAATGGTAAACAAAAAACTTTCATATAACCGTTTTCCGCCAATTTACCACTGTTGCGGGTGGAAATTCCCAAATCGCTGATATACGTATTTATTAAGTTCTTATGTAGAGCTTTGAAAATAAGTTTGAAGCAAATCGGACACAACTTAAAACTTCGCCCAAAAAATCTGTAAATCGCATTCCCCCCGAAGAAGTTTGAATTCTGCGAAAAGTGTGCAACACGTCTCAAATGATTTTTCATATAGATCTCTGGAAATGAATTTGAGCGCGAAACGTCACCCACCAAATCTTTGACCTCCATTTCCATCAAGGAGGAATGGATTTTCCTAAAAGTGTGAAAAACCCCTCAAATGAATTTGAACAAGGATCGTTTAAAATAAGTTTGAGGCCGATCGGATGGTAAACAAAAAAGTTACATACAAACCTTTTTCTCGATTTTTCCATACTTGCGATTGGAATTTCCCGAAACCCCGTCTTAACGTGCACCTACATCACATAAGGTAACTACAGTGAAAATTTCAGCTTCCTAGCTCTTACGGTTTAGGCTGTGCGGTGATCACCAATCAGTCAGTCAGTCAGTCAGGACAAACAGTTTTATATATAGAGATCAATGACAACACCATTCTAACGATTATCGATAAATTTTCAAAGTTTGCGACCGGATACACCAGGACAGCTTAAATATTGGGAAATCTATGAGAAGTTTTTCGCCTCTTTCGGCATTCCGGAGAAAATGATATGTGATCAGGGTGCGGAATTTTCAGGAAAAATTTTAAAAGACTTCTGCAAGCAATACAACAGTCAACTACACGTCTCTTCTTTTCAACAATCTTCGAGCGATTCTCCAATAGAGAGATTGCATTCATCCCTAACGGAAATTTACCGTATTATAAATAATAAAAGAAAAGAAGAAAAGTTGGATCGCGATCATAACGATATCCTGACAGAGACATTCAATACTTATAATAACGCTATTCACTCCACTACTAACTATACACCGTATGAGGTTTTCTATGGAAGACCACATTTCTTCGATAGAGATGTGACATTCAATAACGAACACGACTATCTACAAAAACTAAATGACTTTCAAACAATATTATACCCACAAATAAAAGACAAAATAGAAAAGAAAATGCAAACCAGAATTAAAAAATCGAACGACGAGAGACAAGACCCAGAGACATTAGAAACATAAGACACCATCTTTAGAAAAGAGAATAAAAGAAATAAATTAGCACCTAAGTTTACCAAACTCAAAGTCCTCTTAGGCAACGGTATTACACTTGTTACCAATAAAAACTGCTGCATTTGACGTTATCGGCAGCATCGAGGGTTTACTTAGTTGGTTGCGTGCGATATTATCGGCCACGCCGATATCTTTTTGTCATATGGTCAGTGTATGGGGGGTGAAGCTGGGCCCACGGCGGATCCCAATTTATTGAAGGTTGGCAACGCCAGGCTTGCGATCCACGGCGCCAAAAGCGACGATTGCTATTGGCGCCCGGTTCGCTCTTAAAGAGACTATGAGGAGAGTGGATCCCATGACCTTGGATATGCCCTTGGCCTTCATTTGGGGCGTTGACCCAAAAAAATGCAGCTGTGCAGATGGGCAGCAACGGTGCCCGCCTCGCAAATGTATGCGTGTGCCGAAATTCGGCACCGATGTTGCTGCCCAAATGTACAGCCAGGAGTTCGATTTGATCAGCGGTCAACGGCGGGCGTGCCAGCTCGAAGCGAGCGTAAAGTTCTAGTTTTGCATGTCGGCTCTGAGTATTCGAGTTTTTCCATCTGGCAAGTTCAGCCGGCGCGTACCAACAAAAAAACTTAACAAACTAATAAAATTTTTGGGTTTGTTTTTTTTTGCAATTTAATAAATAAACGTAAATTAAACCATTCGAGTCACCAAATATATAAAATTAAAAGAGACTTAAAACTTAAGTGCGACGAGAGACGAACAAATTAAAATCAAAATAAACGGCTCCGGCAACGAAGGGACCAGCTCTCGCACCAGAGAGG